CAAAAAGTGCACTTGCATCTATTTCCAAAAGAATATCTATTGATGGCTCCGTCAAGTAATAATAATGTCTATGGGATCCCGCGTTTATGCGATTTCCTTTTTCGTTTTAAACACACTTAAGTTAGTTCTTTAAGGATGTTTGGAAGGTACAATTGGAGACAAGAGTACACAAAATTAGAAATTCGTGATTAATTAGGTTTTGCAGCATATCATGAGGTAAATAAATACTGTCTATACTAAAAAAAAGTATACGGTTTATGAGAAAATTTGGAATATGACCAAAAACTTTGAATAAAATTAGAAATAACGAATAATATGGAACATTTTNATATTAGAGGCAGAAACAGGAGTTAGGAGGGGTAGAGGTAGACCTAGATTAGATTACTGTTCGCAAATAGTTAAGGATGTGGGCTGTTCTAGTTTTAGGGAAATGCGAAGTTTAGCTCAGGATAGGAAAGAGTGGAGATACGTGTCCAACCAGTCTTAGGACTGATGACCTTATGATGATGAAATCGATTTGTAATTTTTACAGGAGTTTTAGAATTGAAGGAGGAACGTTCTTCCAAATTTTTATTTGTCTCGTAGCATTTTGACATACCTCCCAAACATCGTTAAGGCAATAATCCTCATGAATTCCAATAAATAAAAGTTTAAGAACGAATAACAGTCCCTAAACATTGCAACTAATGTATGTAAGGTTATGCCGTGGTTGCCTCTTAATTACTTCATGCAAATTAAAAGAAGAATTTACATTATTTATGGATATTGCATCTCCGTATATTAGAAGGCAGTATATCAGTTTCAAATCCCCTCTTCGTCCCCATTACGATAATCTATGAAAATTGTCCACCATTTTCCTCTACATTTTTACTATTTATTGTACCCATTCGGCTAATAAATGTATAAAAAGTTGTTTGTACGTATATATACATAAAAATTTTGTATTAGGTAATTGTTTGGATTGTATATATGTTAAGATATGAAATACATTTTGAAGTCATCTTTAGCTTGTATTAAATATATAATTCTTAGAATAAATTGGAACTATGATAAAATAATGCTAAAGAATGTTTCTAATAATTCTTAGCAGATAATTTTTTCTCTAACATGGAACGCTGATTTTATCGAATTGGTTACTTTAATTTAAAAATACATATAGTTAAATACATTTTCTCAGCAAAGGCCTGTATTGATCTTTATAATATCAGTTAATCATTTGAATATCTAACCATTAGACATAAAATTTCAAATACGCACCATGAGTCTACAAGATTAAAAAAAAAACAGGCATGTAACTTATGCAGTTTACCGTTATGTCTCTCTGTGCCCGTTGTGTTATAAATTTTAACTCTATTGCAAATCTCATTACGATCATATGCACTTGTAGTAAACGAGCAATAAATTATTAGGAGTGAAATTAATAACAAAATTATTTTTACTAGATACATAGGTACAAGGTACATGTGGTACAACCAGGCATAAATCATGTATATCTACCAATGAGGTTGTACTAGAATAGATACCTAAATGCTGTGACAAAAGTTAGTGTGTAGAAGCGCATTCCTTCAAGATGTAATAATTGTAACACGTTTTAAAAACGTTTTCATTGTAGAACTTATTTCGAAATGAAAAATCCTTAATCGTTAGGGGATCATTTTGTAGTTCTGTTTAACTATAATATTGAAAAGCATTACGTACTGATTGGTTAACACGAACAATAAGTTTTCCGCCAGATATGAAGGGTTAATTAGAGACATATTAGAAGCAGGAACAGGAGGTGAGAGAGGCTGGAGTAGAGTTAGACTATTGTTTATGCATCTGTTAGACAAGGAATATCGATATTATTACCTTCTTCAGGGACTAAAGTTCGGTTAGGTTAGGTTAGAAGTCCACTTCGAAAATGGTTGTTAAAGGTGTATGTTTGGAGCACGGCGCTGTACGGGTGCGAAACATGGATAGTAGAAGTGGCGGAAAAGAAAAGGTTAGAAGCGTTCGAAATGTGGTGTTACAGGCAAATGATTAGGATACCGTGGATAGAGAGAATTAAAATGAAGAGGTATTAGAAAGAATAGGAGAACAGAGGACTCTATGGAAGTCGATAAGAAATAGGCGAGATAGGTTAGTAAGACACCTTCTCAGGCACGAAGATAGACCTAGATTAGATTACTGTTCGCAAATAGTTAAGGATATGGGTTGTTCTAGTTTCAGGGAAATGCGAAGATTAGTTCAGGATAGGAAAGAGTGGAGATACGTGTCCAACCAGTCTTTGCACTGCGGACCTTGTGATGATGATGATAAAATGTGAATTTATCATTATCTTTTAGACTTTATATATAATTAAAGTAAATATTATTCCAAGTAAATAAGGAAAGAATAATTGAAGTTTGAGGATAGTATTTGATTACAAATGATTCAATCAGTTAAGTACAAGTTTATGAAGATTCTGTTTACTTACTGGAAACAAGCAACGGTTATACTTCCATAGCTTTTCTGGTTTATGTTATTCTATTCAACTTTTACTCGTCAAGATTTAATAAATAATAAAATGAGCAATTGTATTATGCCGAAGAAGCTTTATGTCTTATTGAAAAGCCTCATTTGTTAAAGTCGTTGAAAGTGTGTTTC